GAGTGATAGAAGAGGAGCTGATTTCTGCACAAACCACCACTTGGATGGTGAGTTTGCTTTCACACGTAATTGAAGCAGTTAGAGAATAATGTATGCAAAATATTAATTTACCTTCCCAAAAGTCTCAATGCTTTTCTGCAAGTTGCTGCTTTTTTGGGGTGAGACACTAACTTCAAGATAATTCTTCTGGTGTCAAACAACTTTTATCTAAAATGTCACAAAAACATCTTCAAGTATTTTTGGATTTCTTGCTTTTTTTTTTAACACATAGAGCAACATTGTCCAAGTAGAAAATTAACAAAAATAGACACATCTCTCTAACACTTGGCATTTTCTGTTTTGCAAGCTTGATGACAATTAAAATTTGAACAAAAATGTTTTTTTTCCTGAAAACACTAGGATGCACAAATGTTTTTTGAGGAACAGAAATCTGTACATCCATGTGTTTTGATCCCCTGTAAATTAAATTGAGTTGTTTGAACATACATATGCAGGTCTGAAGAATCCCATATCCATGTCCTGACTCAAAATGATAATATTTGGTCTGCACATCAGACATGCGTGTGTCAATATGCAGACACCAAGATGATGGACTGTCTATGAAACACGATCCAAGCCGGTCACTGGATCTACAGCTCATCATAAACAATTCCTCGCCATCCTATTCACGCAGACATTTTTATGTGTTTTTTATTTTCTACCTCATTGCAGCCGTGAGCTGCTTGCTGATTTACACATGCTGGCAGCAAAGCTTCGAAGCCCCCGGAGATGGTGCCCTCAACGCCTCCACTTCATTCCTTTGTTTCTTCAGCTCCTCTGTCATCTTCACAGTGCCATCGCTGGCACTGTCTCCATTCCCTGTCTGACCAGAGGGCTCCCCTTCTATACATTGTTCTTCCCTAACAAGACGGGAGTCCAGAGGGACTTGATCCTGTGACATGCAGAGGGTGACGTTCCCCAGAGCCAAGAGAAAAATTCATGCACTGATGAGGAGGGAGTATATATGTCTATATATATGTGTGTGTCAATTTTTTTCTTTTGTTTGTTTTTTGATATGCCGCATATATTATGAAATCAAATCAGTGTGGGTCTTGTGAAATGTGGACACATGCTCTAATATCTACTCCAATGGTCCAAAATCAGATCGACTTCAATCAATTACCATCAGAGATCACCTGATTGCTTATAGATTCCAGCTAATCTGCAAAGAACAATTGGGGGGAAAAAATCCATCTTTGGATGTGAAAAGCTGATGCAAAGATGTGCAGCACAAGGAAGTTAGACAAAGTGTTGACGCGGATGGAATGAATTCAGGATGTTTTGGAAAATAAAATCCCAAAACGTGCTATTTTTCATTTAGTTCACAACTGCAAGATGCCATGTGCTGGTGGTCTATTTCAAGTGGTAATACTGTGACAAAATGTGAAAAGGTTTGAGGAGTGCAAACAATTCTGCAAGATACTTATATGAAAACATTTTAGCATAGAGTTGATGAAGAGACAGTATAATTCAGACATGTTTCTTTTCTTAACACATGGCCCTGCCTCCTCCTCTATCTACTTTAAAGTACCACTTTCAAAGAAAGTGTAGTTCCATACTATATTATATCAGTAAATTACAAACTGTAATCTCAGCCTTTTCCCTCAGGCTCAGAGATGCTCTGATCTGCTCCATCTGAAGGAGATGAGAAGCTGTTGCTCTCCTTGGTTTAGTGATCACACTCCTTCCAAATGATTGCTACCATCCGCAGCACACACAAGATAATGGCACAGGGAGGGAGACCAGCAGCTACAGGGAGGGAGACCAGCAGCTACAGCTGCGCAAAAACTGAGGAAAGGTATGGCTGCTAGGTTTGATGAATGACTGATGTCATTTTATGTCAGCTCATTTCCATCTGTGGCGTCTCAGAGACAAAGAAAAAATAATTGCTGTAAAGGAAGCTTTTTTTTCTTTTTTAAATGTATTTAATTTTCTGTATTAAGGTAGCACTGGCTTTCAAACATACACATATATATTTATTTATTAGTTTTCTTTTTTTTACAGAGTTACAAACTGGAGATTTCATATTTGTATGAAATGAAATATCTTGTGTATTTCTGTGCATTTTTTTCAGTGGTTGCAATGCTGTATAATGTGTCTCACTGTCCCATTATCATACAAATACTTTTGGTAGATTCTTATTAAATTATCTCTTCATCTGTGCTGTCTCTGTTGCCGGTGCAGCTCAGTTTTGTCTGGTATCGACCCATCTGGGTTCCGCAGAATTGCAGTCAAAGAGATTTAATATCTTAAATTGTGCTGAGCTGCTATTGCTACTAATGGATTCCGCATAATGCAGCACTTAAAATGCATGAGCAGCCGCTGATTTATCTGTAATTTGCCTCCACTGGAGCATATCTGCCTCAGTACACCCGTTGGTTTTTCAGCTTCCTACAGAAAACTTTATTGGGATTTTATGTTGTTACGTATCTGACTCTGTCCAACGTAAAGATGGACTTTTATTTGTTGTCTGTAGAAAAGAAATACAGCAAGGTAAGACATATGGTGTTGTGGCATGAGGCAGACACGTCTCCCAGAGAAAAAAGCTCATCCCTCTGTCCAATCTTTTACTATTTACTGTTAAGCTATAGTCATTCATTTCAAACTAAAATAGAAACAAAGCATTTGTTGTTTTTATAGAAAAAATTTTTCTGATGATTTTACTGAATCACTATGTTTTCAGGTCTTTTGAACCTCTCCAGAGGCTAACACAATGAATGTCACGGCGTTGTTTGTATAGCAGCTGACCAAACTGTTTTTAGTAGTTACTGGTTTTATGGCAGAAGAGCTTTGCTGACAGATTACAGTAGCCTGAAGTTAATGGCCAGTATACCAGAGTCACAGACCATTAAAAATAGATTCAATATTCCCCATCAGGCTGAATGAAACCCAACAGTTTAAATCCTGAAATGTTTCAATTTAAAGGTCGGTAGAGAAACTGGCTGCTAAATTTTAACCAAAAAATATTCTTAATCTTAGTTAATTCTTTATTTTGCAAGCGGGACAAATATATTTCCACATCCATTTAAAATCTGTCTTCGAGAAGAAGTGTACGCAGATATGAGGGACAATAGGGTGGTGCTGTTTCAAGGGTTGAAATCCTGGCTGGTCCCTCTTATTGTGGAGATTGTATGGTGTAATATTGCATTTGTGTGTCCCCTTCAGATACATGACTTCCTCTCTGAATCCAAAAACATGGCAGCTGGGTGAATTGGCCAATAAACGTTCATCTGAATTCCTTAAATCCTTGAATCTGTGAATTTACCTGAGATGTTTGAGTTGTGTGTGTCTCTGTGCTGTCTTGTCCGGGAGAAAGTCGCCGACTCCAACCACAGCTCTGCTCAGACACAGAATGAGGAGGGAAGTGACGGATGGTGTCTTTTAAGTGTTGCATGTTTTCTTTAGAGTCATTGATGATCGGTTGTTAGAGGAGGTTAAAAGACACTGAATCTTAAAACAATAGTTTGCTAAAAAAAATTCCAGTGACGGATGTTTAAGTTTCAATGGGGGAAAAAACTTCACTTATTGCAACATCTTGAAAAGAACAAGTAGAGGACAGTTCTTTTGTTCTTTTTCACTTCTGCTAAACTGGAGAATAATGGAATTGGAATAACGAATCAGTGTCTTACCTAACCTTTTTGTCAAGATTCCCAGTTGAAGGTCTAATATTTTAGTTTCTGTATGTAACATTGTACGCTAGTTCAATTTTAGCTTTAGAAACAATGATCTCAAAAACAGCAGCTGAGCTGTTTATAAATAATCAGACAAAAGAACCGTCTTCAGCACAAACTCAAACATTGGCCTTATTTTTTTAAAACAATATGTACTGTATAGTAACATATGCACACATATATGTCAAGATATGGTCAGAAAAGAAAGGCCACCTGCATCTCTTCTTCCTAATACAAGCAGGTTCCGAATTTATAATGAACTCCTCAGCTGCTGCACAGAGAAACAGCTAATCTATGGCCTAATCTAACCATTACCAGAACATACCTAATACCTGATCTAAAACCCCCAAAGCAATACTTCTTCTTGTGGGCCTCAAGCTCTGAGCCACAAAAAATGGTACATATGTTAGGAAAATAGTCCTTACAATGCCTCAAATACAAGGAGACACACACTAATGTATGAATCTACAGAAAAGAACAAACAGACAACGCAAGTGAATTTTATAAAAGCTTTTGCAAAAGGAGAAAACTCAGCAAACTGCTCCTCCAAGCCGTTCACTGAGCGCTCTGAAGACCCTTTGTTAGAGCTTTCTCTTCTATTAAAAGATAAGGGAGGGCAGTAAAGAAAAACAGCAGAGACAGTCACAGGCGGCCTCCAAAGTAGGGAGTATTCCGGTTGATAAGGTCTGAGAAACACCGTTAACTGTTTCACATGGAAACACAGGAAGAAGAAAAGGCCTCAAAGTCAGTTTATACATTTCAGCAGAGGAAGAGAATACTTTAAATTAAAAATCACCATATAATTCTGGGTTAATGATCTAAAATATAATAATAATGATAATAAATGTTGAACGTAAGAATGATAACACAGAAAAATCCTAACACACACAGTCGCAGAAACAGCTGCAAGGAACTGCCTCAAACTAACACAAAGCAAGGCAGACAGATTAAAGGAGCGGCCTGTCAGCACAGCTGGCATTTGCTCAGCAGAGAGCAATGTTTCCTGTCTCACTGGTGGCCTTCACAGACAGGAGTGACAGGAGTGTCCAGTGGGAGTCCAGAGGACCTCCTGCCCATCACACACCTGACAGAGGGGTGGGGAGGAGTTTGTGTGCTGAAACTCTGCTGAGACCTTATTAAACATGTCATCCTGCTAAACACTGCAGTGGCCACCAGATGACAAGCTTCCCACACTTGAGAGCCGTACAGTGACATCAGGCTATGACTGCTTGACATATTATCCTGCTATTGGGACATTTTCATGGTACGAATGAGCAAACTCTGTCATGCTTCTGTCAAAATTAATTTATGAAGCTACAACACACAGTTACAGCACATGTTTCCGAAAGATAAATGTACAAACTGTGACAACACTGCCACCCACAGGCGCAACATTATTACACATTTTCTGCCACGCACACAGCACAATATCACAGTACAACAAAACATTATGGACAATTTTACAAAAGCATTCATGCCCCCGAGTAAACCTTTAAGTCATCTAGTTGACACATAAAAGTAAAATAAGTTGTTTCAGAAATAGGAATCTGAAAAGTGAGCTTTGCACATTAACAAATTGATACTTTTACCCATTTTTCTTCCCAAAATAGCTAAGTAAAGTCAAGTTGTCCATGAACATTACTTTGTCAAATTCTGCAGCAGATTCCATTTTACCACATGAGCATGCTGTGGGTGTACGGTATGTTTGTGGTTGTTGACCAGCTGTAAGGTGAACCTCTGCATCAGTCTCAAGCCTCCACTGGTTTTCCATCCAGTATTATTGTGAATTTAGCGCCATTCGTCTCTCCATTCAACTCTGACCATGTTAATTGTTACATCCAGTGTTTGTTTGCTTTTTTCCGTCAGGCATTTTGTTTTGTATGTGTTTTCTGACCTCATCTTGCAGTAAACAACAACCTAAGGGTATCAGGAAACCCTAGCACACGCTTCACTCACCTCACATTTCTATTTATAAAAAATGTTAAGAAGCTGTGTGACTTTTTGTCGGTTTGCAACATAACAGTTGTCATGTCTGATATTATAATATAAGAGCAGTATAAGACACAGTTCTAGTGGTGTGAATACGTTTCCAAGCCATGTTCACACAGCACACAAATGGAAGCTGAACTAAAAATAATTACTGATTTTGTGAAACCGGCTTTCCAATTAGGAGAATGCAAATTACACAAATGTGAAAATGGTTGCAGGGAAAGGTAACAAGTTGCATTTGTTAAGGTCATTTCACATCTAGAAAGATGAACATGAATCAAGTAAATAGACTTGAACTTTCATTAAGTAGTTTTCAGTTGTCATCCAGAACCAGGCGAGCAGCTGAACGTCTCCTCTCTTCAGGTTCCCCTCAGATCAAGGGTGTCTGCACTCCTTGACTTGTTTAATGTCAACTCTTTTGTCTTGTGTCTTGAATCTCTGCACTCTGAGCTGCAAAAACACAACAAACAGCAACGTTTACAACCGGTTAATCAGGTAATGTGCCCTGACTTGTTTAGTATCAATCATTGCCAAACGAGTTTGTGTTAACATCAGTTCTTGTAAGAGCAGTGTTTCCGTCTGGACTTTCCCGATGAGGCAGTGGAAAATACAGCGTTTCATTACCTATCTGAGTCAGAGTCACAGGACACGCTGAGGTCCCTCTGCAGGTCCTCTTCTGAGTGAAATCTCCTCAGGCCGCAGCTCTGTACAGCCTGGGCCACGGTGAAGCTGGTCTTTCCGGCAACGCAGGCCTCCATTTTGGAAATGCTCAGCTGGGACTGAAGGAAAAGGTGCAGGCAGCTGTCGGATAACACCAGATTGCTCTGGAGGATTCTGAGAAATGAAGGAAATAAACAAATAAGGATCTGTGTGTGTGTGGCATACCGTGCCGTCTGGGGATGTGAAAATGTCCTGTGGTCTGGAACTGGTGGAAACCAGTGCACACCAGTTGGGTTGAGTGAAGTGATGTCTCCAAATTATAAATGTACTGCGATGTGAGGTCGTTCTTACTTTTCCAAAAACGTCTGGAGTCCTTTCATCCGATCTGCAACCTGCTGGGCGTTGTTCAGACTGAAGAAGGGGTTTTTGGGTGGAAGCCGTGGTAGCTGTATGCTACAAAACATCCAGGAAAAGGAGAACCATTTAGGACGTCAAGTTTAGCATGAAAATAGAAACCTTTGTCTTCCTCAGATTTATTAAATGGCATATTTACTCACAGTAGGAGAGAATTTTCCTGTAGTTTCTGTCTAAGCCACACAAACTCACTGAATCTCCTTCTCACTCTGGAAGTCTTCTTGGTGAAGAACACACTGTTGGTCTGAAAACAGGACACAGCAGGAACATAGTTAGAACAAGGAAACAACAAGAGCGAAACTATCTTCTTGACGGCTGTATTTACATGTAAACAAATCTCATAGTCCATGTAGGCATGCCAGAAGTCATTCTTTTGTATCCGCGGGTCTCGCACCCAGACACTGATGACTTGCTGCATGGAGTCGGCAGGAGAGATCCTGAGCTCAACTGAATGAACCGTGTTGTGAAAAAAACAGGAAGGGTTTTATGAGTAGACAGAGGAAGTGGAATGACAAGCACTAAAAGAAAAAAAAAAGAGGAGGAGAGGAAATTCCCATGTATTCTAAATCCAGTTTTGTCTTTTCTGTCTGCTCATTGGCAGACGTGAAGCATTTTTTAAAAATCAAATCACATTTCAAAGAAAACCTACTGGATTCTCAGTACTTTCAGTTTCTTCTCCCATAATACGAAACATAAACAGAGCTCAAAGTCAGTAAGCTTCTCGCTGACTGATAGTGCTGTGCACAGCGTTGTGCTTGTGCCTTGATTTCCACTTTTACTGCCGAGGAGCAAAGGTTTCCAATTCTAGTCATGAGACAAACAGAAGCCGTTCCCTGAACTGTCAAGTAAAATCTATAAAAGAGTTTTGTACACACAGCCTCTTTTGGGGGTTTCCAAAAGCAGTCGTTTGACCTTTCCACATTTTGTCACATAAAAACCATAAAGTTTAGTGCATTTTGATGGGATTTTATATACCGGAACAACAATAAGCGGTGTTTTGCTGGAGCAATAGAAACCTTGGCAGCACCATTCCAACACATAAATATGCCTTGATCTAAGTAATTCAATTGTACCTCAGGCTGAGTTTAGAGGTTATTCTCCTGCTGGATGGAGGAGAGTCACTCCTTAGTTTCTGACAGGTTTTCTTCCAGAGGAGCCCTCCGTTTTCTGACCAGCTCCATCTGCTGATGATTCTGCTGCTACTATGTTTCACTTTGTGGATGATGTGCTAGCACATGGTTTTATACATGTAGATCGATTTTGATCTCACATCCTCTAGTTTGGGTCCCCAATATAGCTTGAGAAAAACTGCCACCAGGGCATGATGGTTTTCTTTTTTCTACTTTCATATAGAGGACAAGATTAGCATTGAAAAAAGGCTCTATGAACCAAGCAGTGAGTCAGGAAACGTGTAAAGCCGACGCTGGGGCGATGAAGGCGCTTCAATAAGTGACAGAGTTACAAAAAGTTTTGTTTATTTGCAGACTTCACAGATTAAGGTCAACAAGTTACAGCAGAAGGTGTTTAAGGTTCAGCTGGGTGTCCCATAACAGTCATGGGAGATATGTAAGGTCACATCAGTGCCATCAGAACAGTTTCTACGACAAACAGCCGAGTCATTCCAGCAGTGACTCAGCTCTGTAAATGTACAGTCTCTTAACTAAAGTGCTACATTTAATAACTGGTGCTCACAGGGTAAATGTTAAAAGGAATCAAACTCAACTTATTCAGAAACTTAATTCTACCAGGATGTCACGTTAGATGAAAGAACCAAATAAGCATAATTATAAATTGCAGTAGTTTTTTCACTGCTGCCCCTCTCCCACATGTTGCTACGCACTTCTGATCAACTGGCAAACAGAATGCTTCTACACCTAAATCACGGAAAATTTGAACCAAATCAAGACAAAATGGCCTGCAACACACAGGGTGCAGATTGCTGAATTGGAAAATATGAAACATTTGTTTTAACATTTAAAAAGGGTCGTACAGACAAAATGACTTATTTTTGTTAATTCACACCACACGTATTGACACTCCCTAACCCCAAAAAAACATGGTTAATCTTTACACATGTGGGAAATGTGCACTGACCTGCAGTTAGCTCACTCTGCTAACGTTAAACTTCAAGGTACATAATGCTTTAATACAGAAAATGACAAAAAAACAAACAGTGTCTAAAAACAAAGCACAACCACAGTGACCGAGTCTGCTACATAATCACAGAAAAGGAATGCAGCAATAGGTTAGTCAAAATTAAAATAAAAATCAGCTGTTCTGAACTAAAGTTAGCTTTAGTATCCATTTTGGTGTCCGCAGAGGTAAAGTAACCTCACTGAGCACCACAGAGCTGGCAGTGCTTTAAACCTTCGTTCCCCGCTGAGAATCTCACAGCTGCCAGAGTAGGAACCTCCACCTGCAGAGGGACGTGATTTCATGCCGCGTGCCTTTAGTGCCAGCTGATGGAGGACGCTCGATGGAGGAGAAACTAATCTTTAGATGGAGTGCAGCTGCTTTTCCAACAGTCCTCAGCACAGATTTTATTTGTTTATTTTTATATTTACTGCTCGCCCTCGCCACAGTGCCAGGTCAGCTTCTGCTCGTAGAAGTCAATGACCACCTGGGGACATCTGGCACTTGCTTCGTGAGCCGACATCAGGGCGACCTCGTCGGAGTTCTTCCTGTGAGGAGAAGCGCAGGACAGTGAAAATGCTGATACTGCCTTTTACTTCAACAAAAATCCACCCAGTCAAGCTGCAGCAAGTTTTGTTGGTGTTACTGGTATTCTTATATATACATTTCTTTAAAGAAAATAAGGCTTTCTTATTTTTTAGGCTTTCTAAAAATTAAGAAAGCCTAAAAAAAACCAGCCTACTGGATTACAATAAGACATCTTCAACATTGTTGAGAAAGATGGTTTCCCTTTCTTTTTTTTTAAACTGCATTTTAACTGGATTTCTCAACACAGAAATGTGAATGATTTTTCAAAGTCCACATATTTCCTGTACTTCTAAAAGTAACTTTGCTATCAGTAAGGAAATTTGGACCTTACAAATAGTTATCTTGGCGACCCAAGTCAAGAACAACAGAAACTCTTGACCTAAGTTACAGGTACTTTTTGTATTAGGTATTAGCTTTATTATTAAGTGATTTGTTTAATTAGTGGGGTTCAAACCAAATCCTAAAGAGGCCCACAGATATGCCCTTTAAAAGATCTCTGGTGACATCTGTAAATAGTTCTGTGCAAACACTCCCTCCTCAGTTTACTGCACTGGAAAGTCGTGATGGACCTCTAAGAAATGAAGTGTCAAGCTGGTTGAAATGGAATGTTTGAAGGATTTTAGAGTCTGACTTTAGAGCTAATGGTGCTTTAACCAGATCTTTTTAAAGAAATCCAAACCCTAATGTGGAAAACTTTTGAATACATACCAAAAGTCGATGTTTGGACATGTGTCAGCTTTTGAACTTTTTTCCCCTTTCTCCTCTTTAAGTTCCCTCTAGCGAGCTCAAATTGAACCAATGGACTTGTGGGCTAAATTCTAATGTTTTTCATATGTGCAAACCCGCCTCAAGTAAGTGTGAAGTGGAAAAAGATGTTTTAATATAAAGTTTCCATTTCAGAATCGTATAATTTCTCACGCAAAAAGTGTCTCAACATAAAAAAATATATATCAAAATCACCTCAACAAAATACAAACAACTTGCTCTGGCTGCTGAGTGTTTTAAAACCAACCCCGATCTTGCACAATGTTTTTGCTTTTCAACTATTTGCTTCGGTTGGATTGGGTAAAGCGAAAATGTTTTCTGTCCTCATGGGCAGACATGAGAAACAATCTGTGAAAATCAGTAAATCTCTCAGATCCAAACAGCTGGTGTCAAAGTGCCATCAACTGGGTCAAATTTGTCCAAATGCACCGACTGAGATGTACATTTGCATTTCACCTCCATTTAAAGTTCAAAACTGGTCAGCAGGCTCACATAAAAACGCTGAAGGAATAGATTCTGATGTTTACAATCAGGACATCAACAATCGGGTCATACTGGCAGATGGACTGCAGACAGAGCGACAAGAGTGAAAGAAGTTACACTTTCCAGCACTTTTATCTATCGTACTTGTTGCTCACTGAAATTATACCATGTCATCCAGGGCTGAACACCTCCAGCCTCAAAAAGGGGAATGAACATGAGGAAGTAATGATGACGTATAACTGACTTTACAGTCACACAATATAGGAAGTTAACTGTGTGGAACAGTCCAGTAAAATAAAAAAACAACAAATCCCATCTGCTGTGGTCAGAAGTACTTTTCAAAGTTTCGAGGTGATTCCAGCTGTAGGACCCTAAAGCCTCTTTCACAAGCGATTAAGACCAGAATACTGCCTCCATTAACATTCACTGAATTGTGGCAAATAATAAAAGAAAAGAAAGAAAAAAAAACATTGTGCATGATTGAAGTGTGACTCCGCTGTGGCTTTAGTTCTAATAATGGTCCCCACCCCTTGCTTTCTTAGCCATCTCACCACAATGCCACAAGTATCACATCTGCAGTCCAATGTATTTGAGTTTAACTGAGCTAAAGCAGATTTAAATACGGTAGTGCCAGACGATAAGGCTGAAAAACATGTCATGATATAACTGTTTCATAAAAGTTGATTTCGATAATTTTTTTTTCTTTCAAATATCTGAAATACTGCCAAACTGATGACGTCATCATACTTGCTTTATCCATAGTTTCCTCCCGAGCGGCTGTACTCATTTATCCCTTTCACTCCACACCGTTTCATAAAAATATTTGTAAGCAGTTATGAGGAACGGTGGCGAAACCTGAATCTGCTGCAGAGCGATTTAGTCAACACGTCGTTGCTATGTAAACATTGAGTGAGATAGTTGATGCCGTCCACTTTGCTTCGCCGGGTTGTGACAGGCTGAGCAGCTAAAGCCTTCCCTCTGCCAACATCCCCCAGAACATTGGCAAGTCTAGATTGGAGTTCACTGACATGAACAGATGTATTTTCTATTGATCACGCGTCTACTGCAAAATATATTGCCCAGCCATAAAATATAGTATTGCAACAGCTTCTTGATGAATGGAGTTTTAGACCTCTGTTATTAACCCTATTACCTGCTATTTGCACACATTTCCCCTCCTTTGCTTCCCTCCACATGTCTACATGTAATGCCTTGTGCTCTTTCACATTTCCATTGCAACCTCGAAAGCAAAAATCATAATTTCCCTCATTGTCCCAGACTGCCGCTTCTATTGTGTTTGTAATTTTCCACCAGCCTCAAAGTCTGTACTGCACTTTTAGATGACAGAAAATGAAAACAAGTTTGACATTGAAAAGAGGAAGCTGAGAATTTACCATTTGACTAAGAACATGAGCTCTCCTTTTCGGTCGGTGGAGCCGATGATGCATTCAGGTTCGAGGTAAGTGCTGAGGTCAGTGGGGG